GGCCCCTGGAACAATGACCACCCCCCAAAACCACAGCATGTAAACACCTATATTTTCATTCTCGGGGAGATCGAGCTGATTATTTAGGTTACCTGCTCCTCGTCGCCCCCAGCTTCTCATCAGCATGGTAGACCTACGTAACACCAAACACCAAATAGCCATCTTAACTCATGCAACTTTTAAGCACATACCTTTAAAATAACTCAGGAATATCATTCCTGGGAGCTGGATAAAGGCTCATCTTAGACACAGCACGTCAGCTAAAACGTTGGCATAGGTGCAAAAATAGCAGCGGAAACGGCATCATGTTCATGCCATATATCTGGCCGTTCTAAATAGCAGCGGTGTGGTTACGCTAACCGCCCAGACTGATCTGATGGCTGGGGGGGGGGGAGAGATAAAATCTCAGGCACTGCTGCATTCTGTGGCAAACAAGCCACAAATGGTCGGGGAAATGCACTAAAGCCCCATAGACATAAACAATGGATGTAGTGGGGTAATTTGGATATGCTGCCGCCATTATTTCAATTAAGGTTCAGTGCCTATGGCTCCATAGGGTTTTCTTGGATATTTTTTTTAGAAAAGCAGAGGGTGAGGGGCAGTGATGGGGGTAAATAACACTGACATCCCAAAAAATCAAGACAGGGGTTGCAAAACATGATTGATGTTATTATTATGTTATCGGCAGGTCCTGACTGCACTGACAGTATTCTGCCCGTTTTGACAATTTGGAGATAATTGGCGGCCCAGTTTCTCTCTCTTGCATATGCTACCAAAAAAGCTAAATAAAAGCATGGATACTACACTGTTGGGTAGCACCTTCTTTTATGCAACATGTTTGTCTTTGTCTCATTTCTGACGAACACCTTTCTTGAAACAGCAATGCCCTTTCCGGGTGTTGAAAGAGAGCCCATTTGTGAGATTCTCATAAACGCTCTGTGTGTGGCACACGAGGGGAAGTTGATTTAGTGTCACCCTTCCAGCCCCCAGCCGCATAACCGATTACACAGAATTCCTCCCCCCAAGTTTATGTCTGAAACCAAGCATGAGGATGACTGAGACAAACCTAGAGGCAGTTTGGGGGCTTTACAGAGGGAGTTAGCCCAGGCAGGATACCCGTCTCAAAGTAAGGAATGCCTTTCGATGCAGTACATTTACGACCAAGAGCACAAGGCGAGACAGAATACAAATAATTATGTTGGGGTTACTGCGACGCAGCGATCCCAGAGATCAAACCGGCGCGTTTTTACGACACAGTAATTCTTTCAAATCCGAGGCGTAATTAGGAAGCAGGAGAGAGCGTCGAAAAGCTCTTTGTGTCGAGGGGAGGATGTTTCTCACTCAGGAGGGCGCTGATAAGATCATTCACGGTGACGGGCTCGAATAGGCGTCCGACCCTGAGCGTTGTTAAACGCCTGCCTGCCCCTGAAAGGCACACGGCAAACAGCAGAGTTTGTACTGTCTCCCACTGACACAACGGGGCGACAGAGCATGGGGAGTCTGCTCTTATTTTAAAGGGAAAAAGATGCCCCCCCACACCACCACCACACCCAGTCACCAGGAAAAACGACAGATGACAGGGTAGACAGGTAGAAAGACTAGGCCTGTAGCCAGAAAATAAATTTTATAGGGGGTCTGGCAATTGTACCAATAGGTCCCTCTTGGTAAATTTAACCGATTGGGGGGGACGGGGTTGGGCTCCCTTCATAGATTTTGCCAATGGGAGGGGTTAAGTTGTCGTACATTTTGCATTTTATTATCAGGCTATGTGCCTGAACGTAAAATTATTTTACTAAGTGTCTATGTGCCTGAGAAAGACCCAAAGAAACGTAGCAAGGATGGGCTGAGCTGCCCGGCTCTCGGGACACTTCAGGAACCCGTGCAGATGAAGCCAGGAGTGGATGAAGCGGCGAGGGGCTCTGGAGGCCCCGTTTTAGGTGTCCGGCTAGGTTCCTACCGCCAATAAAGCTGCCTTCTCCCTTTCATTCCCCGACCCCCAAGGGGCCCATTACAGACTGCGGATGTCACGGGCCGTCACGCTTGTTTGGACCTGCCCCTCCACCTTGTTTGGCTGAGCATTTCATTCATGGCAACACGGGGGCAAGCTCCTAGGGATGCCTTGAGGAATGCTGGGATACAGATCTTGTGGGGATATTGGGATCTGTGAGTGGGGGGAACAGGAAAAGCTCTGCTCCCACCTCGGAAAGCTGCGTCTGAGAGCAGCAGCTTAAATTTGGGTTTTTTTTCTTTGTCTTCACAAAGCAATTTAAAAAAATCACATTGGTAGTTTTATTTTCTATCCATCCATCTTGTATTCATTTATTTATTGTGTTGTACAAGGGAGAGTCAGAGGGGCAGGGCAGCCAGTCCCTGGGACAAGGGGGGTTAAGAACCTTGCTCAAGGGCCCAATGGTGACATCAATCTGCCAGCGATCGGATTTGAACCAACAACCTACAAGAACAAAGTCTTAACAGGCTGAGTCATGTATCTTCCCCAACTCCTTGTTTTTGTTTCCATTACAGAGGTACTGTGAGTCGGAAGCAAATGGCACAAGATGGGCAGCATCCTGCATAGAATGTACCGGATAGCGGTGCGGACACGCAAATATGTGCATGCGAGTGTGGAATGTGGAAAATGGATTAATAGATCAATCGATGCACAGATGGATGTTGTTGTTTTAAGACCAGCCATTTCACATTGTTGAAGTTTCTTTTTATTTCTGCTTTTATTGGTGTTACTGCAGGAAATCGTGTCATTTTACCAAGTACAACATGATTACTTAAAATTACACTGAAGAACATTTGTTACTACATATGAAATTATTTAGTGATGGCCACTCTGACTAAAAAAAGCAAATGCTTGCATATGTTCTGTTACTATTTATTTTAATAATGGCTCCCTCTTAAGTATAAACATGCTGCATGTGAAAATTTTGCATTATGACATAAAAGACAACGTGTTACCAATTAGTCACTTTATGGTCCTTTTAGCGAACACGTTAATGTTTTCTGATATTGATGTGAACAACACTGCATGTTTGTGTTATTCTACCAACCATTCATGCAATCGCAGGAAACGCCTTTAGAACCCTGAGCACACCTCAGGTGCCATGTCACTCTGACATCCCCCCCCAACACAAACACAAATATTCACTTTTTTTCTTGATTGCAGCCTTCATCAGCCATTAAGTGTTCGACTGGCATGTTAACTGACAGCTGTGTCTCCCAGCTGCCTTTTAGATCTCATTCAGACAAGACTGATTAACCTGTAAATAGCTATTTAAGTTAATAATAATAAGTTAACTAAAATAGTTATCCTTTTTGCACATCACCTATATGCAACATGGTATATAATTTATGTTCAGTACCATCCATGCATTTCTGCATCCACTTACCAGTTTAGAGTAGCTACTGTATGACTCCATGTGAGGGATGAGGTGGTTCTCAAAAGTCTTAGGCAGTCAGAGAAAATGGTGTTTAAATGATTTTCATGCTGGTGTGAAACTATGAGATTATGCATTACATTATGCAAAAAATGCATGTTTGGCTGATTAATACCTCATTGACTTTTTAAACTAAATTAATTGAGCTGGTCGTGATATTTAACAAATATATGGAATGGCTGAGGTTCCCCCGAGGTGAGGTTTGGGAACCGAAGCAGTGATCTTCTAGCCGTTCAACAAGGTATCAGTGATCGGTTGGAGAACAGAAGAAATTCTGGCTTATTTTTTTAATTGGGTGACTATTAATTTGCATATATTGTAATACTAAAAAACTGAGTTTCTGAAGATTGTCTTTGACAGCCTAAGACTTTTGCAGAGTGCTGTATACATTTTCCCTCCTTGTTGCATTCAAAGAGCTCATCAGCACCTATTCGCCTCACTTCCTCCTTGGCCAGAGTCCGTCCAGCTTCCCGCCAGTCTGATGTCCCTAAAGGGTGTGCAGGTGACACAGCAGGCACTGTTAGCATGGCACTGATCAGAAAGATCAAGTGTATATTAGATATTTATTCTTATGAATTTGTATTAACTTCACAAGAAATCACTGTGTCCTTTGTAACTCTGTAAATGTTCAAATTCAGTTAATATTATACAATGATACCCAAATGGAGTAATTATATAGTTACAGTAGGTCAATAAATCAAAACAGAAACAGCACGCATTTCCGTATCTTTTTAATCAAAACTATTTCAATGTGTGCTATGCTGACTGAATCTGATATTTATCACAAAGATTATGATTGTGACCTAGTACATCTGCAAACCACCTGTGAAATATATATTAATATACCCCGCTTAACAAAAGCAGTTTCTATGAAACATTTCCTAAGCTGAAATGGTGTAAAACAAAGAAGCAATTAACGTTAGTTTATAAGATGATTTTTGTGCATTCACAGACCGAAAATAAAAACTTACCAAATCATACCAAATAACACATAAAACCTAAAATAACACTAACATATAGTAAAAGCAGTAATGATATTATAAATACAGAGCCTATCGAAAGTACAAATAATGTGTGTACAGTGTATTCTCACTTACCAGAATCAATACAGTCATGCGTAGCTTAAAAACTGATATGTTCTGAGAAATGCGCCGTTAGGCGACTTCATCCTTGTGAGAACCTCATATACCAGGGGTGGCCTATGCAGGTTTTTGGGATGGCCTGTAGGTCAGCTGTTCAGACCCAGGTGTGAGGACTCTTCAGCCAAACAGTCCTCTAATTAGTAATCCAATTAGGCTACGTTCCCACTGCCATGCTGAAGTGACTAAAAACGGATTTTTTGCCTTAATGTGAGACAGATCTGATCTTTTCAGGGCTGTGTGGACACGCAAATCTGATCTTTTCAAATCAGATTTGTGTCACTTTCATATGTGGTACTAAATCTGATACGTATCCGATTTGCGGCCATGCGACCTGAATGTGACGCTCAGATCGGAATTCATGTGGCTTTTTGCTTATACGCATGCGCTGACATCATCAGCCTGCACCGGCAGCGCGGGAAGGTAAAAATGGAGGAGAGCTGCGATAACAGTCAGTGGAAGGATGGAGAAGGTGGGGATTTAATTGATATTTGGGGAAATTAATCTGTTCAAGCTAAACTGGAAGGAACCTATCGTAATAGAGTAGTATTTGAAATAATTGCCAAAGAAATGGCACAGCGCGGACACGAACGTGGCTACAATGCCAACGAAAAATAAAGAGCCTGAAGTCAAAGTTTAGGGAGGCAAAAGACCCGAATCACCGCAACGGTCATGGCCGCACAACGTGCCAATTTTACGACCAGCTTTTTACCCGTGCAAAAACGTATCAATGTGTGCATGCGTGACGTTTCGGAGGATCGATGCGTTCACATTACAGTCAGATACAGATCACTTGTACTTATGAATGTGAACCGTCAAGATAGACAAATCCGATCTGAGCAAAAAATTGGAATTGAACGATGTGGCTGGCAGTGTGAACGCAGCCTTAGGGAGTTGCAGCGAAAACCCGCATACACACCGACCCTTTGCAGATAAAGATTGGCCACCGCTGTCATACAGTGTACTTATACCCTACTACATGGGCGTCATAGTACCCGCGGCTATAGCCCCGAGTACCGTCAAGCCTACCCTTGAGTAGTTCGCATTGAAAATGGAGAAGTGCCTGTCTGAGGATGGGAAAAAGCGATGTTATAGTAAATCAACACACAGACCTTGCAACCTCCGAATGACACTGGAGTAATCAAGCGCTGCACGGTGCACGAGAAAGTTGGAAGTCGCGCGCACCCAGATTAACGCTCTGGTTTTTAAAACTTATCAAGCCTTCTTTGATATTTCAGAAGAAAGCGCAAAGTAAATCATAGAACGTGGTTATTCAATTCAGTTCAAGTAGGCTTGCTGTATTAGGCGCTTTCACATCAAAGTTCCGGAACCTGGTTCCTGATTACAAGTTCCTGGGCTGTATGGACCGGGATGTTTTGTAGCTCCTGGCCAGTATCGTGTGTCGCTTTTACACCACAAAACAGAACCTGGGACCTTTATGCTAAATACGTATGAGACGCAAAAGCTCCTAGATTAAACTTCACTCATGATTCGAAACCATACCGCCACTCTAAAACAATGGAAGATGGACAAGTCGAACTGCTATTTCCATTGTCCCCGCATTTACACGTAACTTCCAAGTTAACGCCGCTCAGTTTTGCCAGGTCCAGCAGAAATCTCCAGCCCAGGATTTGCTTAAAATCCGCCCAATAGAAGCTGAAACCAATATTTGAAATTCCAGTATACTGTATCTCAAAGAAATAAAACAGTATTCTGCATGTTGATCACATTCAAATGTTCAACATTTTAAAATCGCAGTCAAACACAATGACGTCACGTAGACGGACGCACTTTTCCCTGGGCGGCCAGCTTTGGTCAACTGGCTGGAGTGAGATTAGTGTGCAATTCTGTGCACACACATTTACATGTAACAGTTTTATTACCATGTAAATAGTCCGTAGAGTTTGTAAAGTACCCCCTATGATTCTGATGTAGTTAATGTTAGGTTTATAATGGAATAATATGGATTTGCTGTAAGATTTCTTGCATGAGAGTCTGAAAACGTGAGTGTCAGGCCAGATGCGTGAGAGCTGGCAACTCTGCTTTCCGTGTGCATCTGCCTGTGACTTTTGGTGGCTAGTGATTCAGGGGTTGCATCCTTTGAAGGGCACGGTCTAGGAAGGCATAGCCTTTGCAGGCTGAGTTCTTCACAGGTCAAACAGAAAGCGTTGTCAGTTGGGACAGCTGTTCCCATCCTTACCCTTGAGTCACGAGGCACCGCTCCTATTACCTAACAGGACACACCCACGTCACCTCTGCGCAGGGAATCTTGGGATGTGTTGGGCTGCGAAGCATAAAGATGGATGCATTTCTAGGCTGCGTTTGAATGACTCTTCGAAATGGGACAGCCTTGTTGCACCATTGTGATTCATTCAGGCAGCTTTAGAAGGACGTAGCCCCCGAATTCGGACACAGCCATTGACCAATAATCTTTGGTCTAGTCTCCATTTAGACAAAGCGTACAAGAATCTTCCATGGAACTCCAGTGGAACTCCAGTGAAGCATAAATTCAATGGTTGTCTATGCTGAATTTGTCTTGGCTTCAAAGAGAAAATTAACGTATATGTGGTTGAAGGCAATATGTTGTTGATATGTTGTGTCATCTGTTGTGTAACATGTGTAATATGTTGTTGATCAGCACTGTGCATGAGTATGTGTGTCTGTTCATGGCCCCTGATGGTGGCCTGCGGCTGAATGAGAGATGAACAGTGGTTTTTTAAGATGCATATCTGGATGCAGGAATTCAGTTCCAGAAAGGCTATCCGAAATCTGCAAGTAGCAACCCCTTGAGCCACGAGAGAGGAAGCAGTTTTGGTAGAATCAGGTCCATCAGTCGTTTCACTAATGGATTCCTAAAATTGCTCTGGACAAAATATTTCTGCTGTATTCCCTCTTCTCCACTCTGGCTGTTCTTGTGACTCATATTCAGTTTCTTTTTCTTTGCATTTTGGTATCACAGCCCCAGACAAATGAAGCTTGTGCTCAGTTATCAGAGTTGAGCATCATAACTGATTGCTCGTATCAGATACTGACTCTGTGGTATAACTCCTTAGGATATTTAAGCATCACAGTATTGAAGCAGTATTTACACATAATGATCTTCTTTGAGAGGATCAATTTTTGTTAAAAAAACTCTCAATTACAACATAGTTCCTCCTGGTCCAAGCTTTTGTCTCCACGCAGCATCCACAGCATGTAAATCGCACTGTACGTGCAGTTGAACGGAGCACTTGACCCTTTGCGCTTTATAGTAAGACTCTCCTTGATGTACAGCAGCAGCAACAAGACAAGTGCTGTTCTCTTTGAAGAGATGGGAGCACACTATAGTGAGGACAGATGTGAGCTATTGTTACTTCTTTGGCAAGGCCCATCTTAATATTTCAGCGAGGGATCCACTTTGGAATCTCATTAAGTCTTATCTACAAGACGATGGATCATTCCGATGGGCCGGTCTAGATGTTGAAATGTCAAAACTCATCCCGGGCTTTGAAATGCGCAGCGCGGCGGCCAGAGGGCAGTTTTTTATTCCACTGTAGAGTTTGGCTGCAGGCTGCAGTGTAATTTCTCCATGTTAGTGAAAGTTATCTTCTTTAGGCGATGATTTCCTCCTGGCTACTCGGAATTGTACTAACAATTTAGATACTCTACCGGGGGATTAGAATGAGAATAATTACTGTTTGTTTTCAATTCCCAGACAAAGCATTGGTAAAACATACAACGCAGATGACTGAGGGGACCTCAGTGTAATAGTGCTGATTATGAGGTAACTCCTTCCATCAAAAAGTACCATTTAAAAATGGTTAGGAGAAGAGAAATTTGTCGCTTGAGAGCGGCGGTCAAAACAGAACCAGGGTGATTAGCAGAGACCTTACATTCTTCTGCATGGAGGGCAGGTTGGGATCATTATTCAGTTTGAAGGAGCTTAGCTCATTGTAACACGCCCTTGTCCAGTGTGCAAACCACGAGTAAGCTCTGAGCTCAGCCGAGAGGTCCTCCCTCTGGAAGGAACCTTGCTCTTTCCCGTTCCCTCCTTCCATCTGTTCTTGCGGTTAGTGGAACCTTCAAGCTGGGTTCCTCCATAAGACATGGCACATGTGCCTCACTCAACCTCTCAGCCTCCCAGTCTCCCCCGGGCTCTGGACACAATGTGGGAAAGATGTGTTGTGTTTTTACATGCGCAATAAATCGCCTGTGGAGGGTTTGTTTATCACTTACTCAAATAATCAGAACATTAAATATTTGGCCCGAATAATAATCATCCATTTCCACCACCCTTCCCCCCCAAACAGGCTAATTATATGAAAATAAGCCAAATGAACAGGCCATAATACACACTTTTGCGGTTTAGATAAAGATCAGCATGGAGACATACAAAGCCTGACTCCAGACGGGTTTCTGGTTTCTGAACCTGAGATTAAAATAAGAAGGATACAGTTCAACAAAACAGCGAGACTAAATGCCGTAAATAACTAACAATTCTATTGTGTTGATAAATAGCTTTTCATACACTAGTGGCCAAAATTGTGGAAACCCTTCCAATTTTTAGTGATCGCAGAACTTAATTCAACTGTTGCTCCAGTTCCTTATTTAATCAACCAATGTGTGATGTTTGTAACATTCTTTGATTGTTTATGAACATTACCACCAATATCTGTGTGGTTACTTTTAAAGAGTAATGCCAAAAATGCTAGGTGTTTTCACAATTTTAGCCACTAGTGTATATTTATTAGCATATTACATTGTGAAATTGATTTAGCACTTATTATTTGAATTGGTACTTCTCCAAGTGTGATGTAGAATAAAAGGTGAAGCAGAATATGTGCACTTCCATTATATCTATATTTTAAAATGGCACTTAAGTTATTTTCAGATTTTCAGATGATAGAACCAGCCTCAACCAGTCTCGGAAATTAAAGGGAATTATGGCAAGCTCTGTGGAAAGCAAACATTTAAAAAAGACATTCCAGGCATTTTAAAAGAAGACATTAGCCTTTTGGGCATAGATGGTGAAAATATATAACTCTTTTTAACTTCAGTTAGAGAGGAAGTTTCTGACAGATGACAACATTGGCGGGATGTTGGGATCAAGCATTGGCCATTAATCTTCCTTAACGGCTCTTCACAGAGCGCCTTTCCTCCGCTTGTGTCTGGTGTTCGTGGTAGTGGTGCGGGGGGGGGGGGATGTTTGTAAACGATGATCAGCAGAGGAGGGAGCAGCACGAGAAGACGTTCCATGGCTGGCGGTAGTTTATTGGAATTCTGGAGGTCGTCCGTCTGATCTGACAGGCCAGCGGGACGGCAGGCCGTGACCTCCAGCTGCAACCCCCCTGCCCCCTGCTGCCCTGGCCTTTCCCCCCCAAAGACCTAAAAGCCCTCACCGTGTGGGGCAGATGGATCTGCAATACCCCAGCCTCCCTCATGCTAGGAATCGTGAGAAAGTGAACACGGCTAGCACTAATTTCACAGGTTCACTGTCACGTTCTCTTGCCGTTTACATCCAGGTAATTTATTTTAGTCTCTGGTAATCCATTCTCATATGAAATTTGGAACTGTAATCTAGTTGCCCATAAACTTTGATCAGCTAATAAACTAATTTTTTGATACCTATATATACAAAAGTATGAGTAGCAAAAAGAATTTTTACAATTGAAGAGTCATATGACCATGGTGCGCCATAAACAGGGGAAAGTTAGGGCGATTCCAGGGGCCCCTGACTGACAGGGGCCCTAAAAAACATTTGGAATGTAATTGGATTGGTCTGGGTCTGGGTCCCAGTATGATATGCTTTCCTGGGGTCCAATCTGTAGCTGCACCAATGCATGTGACTAGTTTTGGGGTTGGCTACTTTAGCAATTTGGGCTGAATTGGGAATAATGAAGTCTAACTATCAGTGAGAATATCATGGAGAAGCTGAGCCTTGCCCAGAATGTCCCCTGAGGGCTGAAAAAGCCAGCCTGTTCTGTCGGGTCACCATCCTGAGCCCTGGACCTCGCTGCTGGAGGCTTGCTGTCGAGCTGGGTGGAAGAGCTGACCCAAACCCCTAAATCTGCCCCGATGTCTCTCGTCGAGGTCTCCGGGTGTGCGCAGACCCAGTTAGGAGGTGGTCTCCTTTTATTCTGCTTCATTTCTTTGTTTCTTGTTGAGTGTGAGAGAGGGCGGGGAAAACAGACAGAGGAGCAAAGCTTTTAATGTAAGTACAGCAAAGGCAGCCTGGGGGGATTTCATACATGAGGAAGACATTATGAGAAGGTTTAAACTCAGACCACCAACACAATAAAGTATTCATTTTTCCTTAATGGCAGGTTGTTGGGAGATGTTAAGCCTAGTTTCCTATTTTATAGTAATGATATCCTCTCTCTCTTTCTCCCTCTGAATGCATTTCAGAGCCTGGGTGTGTCCTTCCGCCTTAAACCATGTTTTTAAGTATAGGCTGAGTTTTGTATCTGTAGATATAAAGGAGTTGTGGTATAGTTTTTCAGGAGCCCCCCCCCCGCAAATGCACCGGTGGGACCATTAAAGGAAACTCTATACGGTGTCCCTCTCTTTAGAGCAGCGTGCCCGCGTACTGGCCGGCGCGTGGTCACCGGGATCGGCAGAGCGGTATTCCCAACATTCCCATAGGTGGGCGAGGGGCAGGCTGTGCACCCCATTCCGGGGTCCCAGCACATGAGGGTCCTTCCTCCACACCACATCCTAGCTCAGGAGCCAGTTTCCAAGGGCTCTGCTCTTCATTCTTCCTGTTTGCCCCCCCCAACAAAAATGGGCTGAATTCTTGCTCTGAATCTCTCTGCTGTATGTTTTAACTCACATAATAATCAATACATGGATGTCATCTCCCCAGAACATGCGTCACCGGCAGAGGAATGGGCGGGGCTTTCCTGGCCGTGGGCCGCGGAGCCGCACCTGATCAAAGGGACACATCTTCTGTCCGGCCGCTGCGGCGGCGGCGAGTGGCGGGATAAACTGTTAAGTCACCGCTCTGCTTTGTGTAACGAACACATGGGCCCGCTGGACGTGCAGGCGGATTTCGAAACACAGAGCCTCCACCGAAAGGCCCACACATTGAGTCATAAAAGCAGACCTTACGCTGTGTGATCCAAGCCCACCAGTCCATATTTTTGTCAAGGCATCCGCAGAAATGCGTTTGATCTCTTGTGGGTGTAGCTCACTTCATCTGTTAAATGCTAATATTTTAACACAGTGCTGTGAACCAGAGGTGGTGTGGATGTTCTGGATGAGGGGCGAGTTTAAGGAACAAGCCTCGATACACTTTTAACTGATTACTAATCGTTAAGGACATAGCGTGGTCTTCCCTTCTCCGATGGAAGTGTGAAGCAGATCGGAAGCTATCGTCCTGTTTTTGCCACATTCCAGTTGTTTTCCTCTTTGGTAGAGAACACTGCTTGTTTCATTCCCGAGGATGTCTTGTGGCATGGATTTTTGCACCATCCTAACAGATGCAAATCTTGCAAATATGTTTCAATATACACTATTACAAATGAATATTTGAATAATGAATAATGAATGTGCACATGTTGGCATGGCCTGATTTGCTCGGTGCTTGCTTTCGTCTGAACGAAATCTTCCCATGTCACAGGTTGAAGGATGCTCTGTGTCTACCCAGCAGCAGAATGCTTTAATTGCAACGTTTGGGCTTCAATACCTGCCTTGCCTGCATAGGAGATTGATAACATGCCTTTTTCTCCGTGGAGGGAACTTACAATGCTTCATGCTGTCTGTAAAGTGAGTAAAATTCAAATATGATGCTGCCTGTCATCACCGTCCCGCTTACTGCACTATGTTAAGTCGGCCCTCACTGTCAGTGTCACTGCACCGAGTCACCTGCCGCCAGCCGCAGTTACCTCACTGTCAGTGTCACTGCACCGAGTCACCTGCCGCCAGCCGCAGTTACCTCACTCTGACAGGATTGCATGTCATTTATCAGGAACTTGTTCTGGATCTGCAGTTCCGGAATGGAAATCCACCCCAGAGGAGCTGAGGTTCTTCTCCTCCACCTGATGATACATAGTGACAGGGCCTGCCATAGTTAATGTCACTGCCAGTGTGCGATTGTCATGCAGTAGCTGGACGGGGAGGTGACCCGGAAGGCATCACCCCAGGGAGGGTGTGACAGCAGCCCTGGTAATAGGAGAGGAAGGGGAATAGGGCTCTTTAATGCCCAGTGTAATGCTGGGAACAGACCACATTCACATCCTTCCCGAGTGTCAGGAGAAGCTTCCAGACCTCTGTGGTGGTGATGGAAACAAACATTGGTCTGTGCCTCATGTCCCCCCCCCCCCCCCCAGCCAGATGTCCCAGCTGGGAGCGGAGGACATGCTCTCTTTCATCGCTGTTGCATCGCTGCCTTTGATCCCGCCTGCAGGAATGCTGGACGGCGTCCGGGACGATACTGGGGCGATTCCCCTCCGCCGCCGCCGCACCATGGACAGATGTTGGAGGATCTCGACAAGGGAGAGGCTCTCCTCTCACTGGTGGATGTTCAAAGCGGAAGACGGGTGGATGACTTATTATGCTGTGCGTGGCGGACAGGGATTGTGGGGGATTTTAAGCTGCCTGTTGCATGAGTAGGCCTGTCTCTGCAAAGCCTCCGCCGTGGCCGGGACTCATTTGCTCCCAATCTGCCTGCTATCGTCACCTGTCCCGTGCTGTTACTGCTGTCTGCCCCTCTCTGACTGATGGCGTGTCTGAAAATCCACCTGTGCTTACATATGTGCTGTGTGGTGTCATTGGGGGGGGGGAGGGGGGGGGCTGTCTGGGTGTGGGCCTCTCCACTTTACCGTCACATGGTACTGGGCCTCCTCATACCTGACAATCCAGCTTTTCCGGAAGGCGTTGTTGTAGGCATGCTGGGTTAGGGGTGGAGCCAAATCTGAATACGGAATTTGGCAAAATGCAAATAGTGGGTTTTTATGAGTATATATTTTGTACAGATATTTTTTTAATTATTTGTTTTTGGGAAGTAAAAATAATAACGTCAAATAGCTGGTGTTACACATAACTCTGAACACAGTGGGTATTTGTTCTCTGCCTGCATATACTATATAGAACTTAGCCAGTCTAACTAATAATACCAATAATACCTTATAGCAATAAGAAACATGTATGTCATGCATTAATTATTTACTGTAATTTTTCATTATTGCCTGTAAACTTTGATAAGCTAATAAATTACTGTACTGTAATTTACTGTAATTGTTCATGATTTTAATGTATATTCTCCCTCTTTATATAAAGTATCTTGGCTTTTAATAGGGAGGACAGGTACAGTGTTATGTGTCACGTCCTGCCCGCTATGTCCAGCTGACCCTCCTGTCTCCCTACAGCGACCCTAACAAGCCACGCCTGTTACTTGTTTGTCTTGATGACTAAAAACCTACCTCGTTTGGAAGTACTTGGATTAGCCAATGTATTCACTGATGAGACTTCTAAGCACTTATGTAACTCGCTCTGGCTAAGGGTGTCTGCTAAACATTGTAAATGTTTTATTTCTCATTCCTAAAAGTCATGTTAATCACTCCCAGCTGCCTCTCATTAGTTCCCTCGTTAGACCCATATAGACATGCTTCCCAGTCCTGTGTTCTCCAGTCCGGTGTCATTGACGACAAATTTCCCTGTGTGTCTTTCTTAATTTTCAGTCCTCCCATTTTGATCCCGCTTTTGTTTCCATGCTCTGTTCATTCAAGTTCAAAATAAATCCCTTTGGTTTTGCTACGGCGCCTGCCCTTGAGTTCTTCATCCCTCAAGTCATGACAATATACTGTATAGGTACGTACCGTATATGTTAAGGTGAGCATTTGATGTTCGCATAGCGCCCACGTCGCCTAATGTCCTGTTGCACAGAACGTAACCTGATCTTGTGTTCCACCAGATCTCTCGGTTAAGGGTTAAGTAAGGTTTAGTTCTTGGCATACGATACTTGAGAGAGAACTGTTTTTATTCGTAATGTTTTTTTGTTTGTTTATATTCTGTGTGTTCATCATCCTCCAATCAGGGCGGATGGTGGCATGGTTCACAAAGCGTTTATTATTAGGATTAGGAACTGAATGTTATGTTTAAAATGATTTTCTTTTCAATGATGTTTATGGTTATACATGTTTATTATAATAATTATGAGAGCTGTAATGTAATACTGGTTTATGTTTTTCATAAATCCAGCAATAGTTTACTGAAGAACACTTACAGTATATTAACACTTTAATATGTTAAAAAACTGGATTGTTACACCTTTTTCTACTTTTATTCAAATATAAATACAAATAATTTTCCTGCCTCAACAAATGCAAGAATAAAGCAGGGTAAAGCCAAAAGAGAAAAACACTGCCTCCCTCATTTCCACAAAGATCAGTTTCTAGGTGCTGTGGGACTCCTCCCGGAGACCTCGAACGCTCCGTTTCAGCCGAGGCCATTAAAACATCACGCTCTTCTGACAGCGCCTTTGTTAAGGAACGGAATGGATTAAGCCGGGACCGCCCCAGTACACGCTCGCCATGAAAAACACGTAGCCTTATCCCCGAGAAATTCCACCACTTCTCCACAAACCACCTGTTACCTGACGCATCCTGGCGCCATGCCACAAAATTGTGTTTTCAGAGACAATATCCTGCCATACAATGTCTTTATTTCCACTGGTTGATGCTCCTTTTCTCCTTAGCAGAAGTTTACAGTTTTCCATTGTCGCCGCTTCAATGGCAGAGTGCTTCACTTCCTTTACGCTATGAGCCGACTCTGTTGAAAACAGCCATTCAGTCCTGCTTCCATGCGACAAGATAATTTCCTGTTTCCCTGTATCACTTTTCAGGCCATTGATGTCTCGCTTTGTGACGGCTCTCTTCGGCAGGAGGTCAATGTAGCTAGAACAGACAGTTCCCGGTGAGACACGGATGCATTTTATAATTCCCACAACTCAGCTCTCTCACATTTGGCTGGGGTGGGGTAGCACGCCTTTGTCTGTAAACCTCCCCCCCCCCACACCAAGACTATCAGAGGAGTACTGATATTCCGTTTTGATTTACCAGTATCTCCAGTTTGGGTACATCAAAAGGCACACAGTTAAGGAGGTTATATTGTACTTCTAAAAGTTTTGTTTCACTAAATATATAAAGTTATAAACAGGTGATGGCAAAGCATCGTACTCCACGCAGGTCTCTGCCAGGCAAATAAACGAGAAGCTATGAAGGTTTGTTGGGGCAGCATATTCAGGCTAATTCAGGGCGTGACTGGTGTGGTACTGGGACTTTTCATTCTCGGGCAATTTTGTTCATTTTTAATGTGTTTGTGTAAAGTGCTTATTTATCTTCCTTGGTCTGTGGTGTGTTTTTTGCCATATGTGGTCGCGCCCATAGCACACAAAACCAGTGTGCTCGTATAACGCCAAGCGTGTGTGACAGGAGCGGCAAGTAAAAAGCCTCAGTCGTTCCTCTTGGCTGCGCTTTGTTATTTCGGGATTCCTTGTACAAACTGAGATCTTTGCCCTTATTTTCCATGGGTGCCTTTGGATTTGATGCACTCCTTGTCTAATGTGGCCCGAGATCAGTAGAATCAGCCAGAAATGTAAAACCTTGTCTCAATTAGTGATGGCAAAGGAAAATGTTCCCTGGCACAGATGTGCACAGGCATCCCGCAGTAATGGCAGCCACTGCCTCATAAATCTGAGCAAGCCAAAACAGGAAGTTTGCTCTAGTCAAGCATGTGCCTTATGATCCCAGCGGAATCTACAATAAAACAGCACAGGGTTGCCTGCCTTTGTTTTGAACCATGCTTACGACAGTCAGTCTGGCAAGTTCCGGGCTGGTGAAACCGTCTTCCCAGAATGAGATGAATAACAATACGTCTCAAATCCATACTCTGCTCTGTTAATATCCAGCATTATGTTGGCTCTTCATTATAGCCTGGAAGATAAGATGAAGGCCCTTTGAACTGCAGGAAGGGAACATGGATCTTATTGACAGGAGCAAAGGGCTGTCCTGAGATTGATTGATAAAAGTTATCAGGGCATTATGTTTTTAGCAAGAGCGCTGAGTTTTCCCTTCCCAATTCCCCACTGTCCTGCCCAGCTTATGATGAATGAGTCGGAGTCTGTGGTGGCGGCGGGCAGGGGGGGGTTGTGGCATTAATTAAGGGCCTGGTGCTTGTTAGCTGCATAGTGCCCACTGATAAGGCCCAAGCTGTCTCCTGCAGGGGTGGGGGGGGACACAGCATGCGTAGCATTCCATCAGCGGGTCCTTGAGAATCCACGAGCCCCCGTAACCCCTGGCAGGACCCACACTCCAGCCCCCGCAATACCCCTTCATGCAGACCCCCCAGTCCAGCTTGAGTGGGAGCCAGGGCAGAACAAAAATTAAGAGAACCTTCCCATGGGGCCGTTTGTGGTACAGTAATTAAACGTCTCACATTCTTTCTGAAGGACAAACCCTAAGACAAATACTGAAAAAAAGGGTTTTAAAGCCATGCCATTTGGTTCCCACCATTCCCCCCCCTTAGCAGATCATTCTAGATTCTTCTACGTTAAATCCTGATCTACATTTAGCTTGGACTCCAGATTATAGGAACTGTACAATAAGCGTTTTCAAATACTGCATTGTTTTGTTTATGCAATACTTATTTTCAGTAGTTTTAAATTATTTACTTAATTAATTCAGTACATACCAAGGCTTTGTGGTCTTAAAGTTGTTTTTGCTTGAAGAAAAAATAGGCATGTGTACAAATGTCTGAGTCTTCTAATTTGAAGAGTATCATGAAAGCTGGATATTTGTAATGCATAGTGCACATCACTGCATTGTGGATCTATGAATGGATTAATTGGTCCGTGCAAATTGCTGTCACCCTTAAAAGTATGCTTGAAACCAGCTTCCCAACATCCATGTTCTTGTGTGGTCACTGATCATAGGTGCAGATGGAGCAGATGCAGCTGTGAGAGGATAATCAGATCTCTACATGGATCTCACAGACAGATCTGACTGTGGATCAGTGATCTCCACTGTTGTTTTTTTTCCCCTGTTATCGCCTCTGAGCATCTTTAGGACTGATAACACAATGCTCCCACCTGTGGGTACAGAGATAAGACTGTGTTATAGTTAATATAGACCAAGCAAATACACTTTCCATACAACTGAATGGTAAAATAATCACAATGGCCCAAGGAATTTAAGGTAGGTGTTTAAGTCGTTCTTCCATTTACCTGAAACTTTTTCAGGAATGAATAATATATTCACTG